CTTATTTACGCACGAACAGATACTGGCAGGGCCAGTAAAGGTCGCGACTAACTGTGAGATACGTCTTCTCTCGATCACGATTTCCACCAATAGTTGCAAGGTAGCACTTTATATGATGCGCAAACGCAGGTCACCATGGTCCGGTACGACGACATGAGGAGTGTCGCTGGCAACGGCTGAGTGCTTGAGTAAGACCTCGGATTTGTACCCTCTATTCGGTGAGGATCGGTATACTGGGGCAACCCTCTAATAGACGTATGTGATATAGCGAGAGTTGATTCCTCGATCGCAACTTCGCCGTACTGTACGCTTCGCGTAAGTCTTCCAATAAGTTTGACGACTGGACACTCGGCTTCAAAACCGCGACAGTGGTCGGACCAGTGTCGAATTGTGCAGCCGATTCTAAATTAGACTATCACAATAGAGCATCAACGACGACATTCAGTCGTCCTAGCTTATGTTCCACATAGAATTTATACTCCAAGAAGAACAACAGCCACCTCTGCATTCGATTCGAGATGTGTTGACTATTAATGGCCATGCGTTAGGATGCATGGTCCGCGTAAACGATGAAGGTTCACCCACCTAACAGGTAGACCTTAAATTTTGCTAAATATACTTCATGGCAAGGAGTTCCTTGCTATCGATGAGAATTTACGTTGACCCGGTTGCATCTGACGTGACTGATAGCAGACGACATGCTTAAAACCTTATGCATCATATGGATCAGTGCGCATCCGATGGCAAAATCACTTGAATTGCAGACCACATGCAATATTCTGTCTTGTTCTAAAATTGCCAAAACTGGCGAGGGTATCAGGCTTTACTTGATACGTATGAAGGAACGCTAGCAATTAGCACGTTATGACCACTTCACATTCTTTTCTAATAAATTAGAGAGACGAACAGTCATCTCGGCGTAAGTGTGCGACTATTTGTGCAAATAATCCGCTAGACAAGGAGATTTAAAAGTATTTGATGTCGGTAGGCACCGGCCCGTCAGTGAGCTTCTTGATCTTTTTCGGATCGGTCCGGACGCCTTGCTTACCCACGATGCATCCAAAATTGGTTATTTGCTAGCAGCAAATACGCACTTCTTGAGGTTGTCATACAACTTATGATCGCTCATCAGTGTGAGAACCTTTCGTACGTGTGTTCTTCGAACCTCTGCGTCCATCGACCCATCCATAGCCCGGATATGGAAGAACACATCATTGAAATAGCCAGGTTTTAAATTCTTGCACGGATCGCAACCGATTCGTGACGCAACTGTGGAACGCAGCAGGGACACCAATTAATCTTTGTGGCATAACTAGCCACTCCCAGAGCATATCTGTGGGGGTAGTCAATTCTGTTTACGGGATGTCTCTTTCACACAATAAGGTCTGATCGAACCTGTCCATCGGATCCATCGATGAAAAGATGGGACTCTTTGCAATACCAAGACATTCTTCCTTGGAATCAAAGTTTGTGCCGGTACAGTAGCAGCATTCAACTTGTTAAAGGCATATGCGATCCGCCATCCTCCTGTGCCTATCGGACAAAGAAGCTCGGAGAGCTATGTAGGGAAGTAAATTCCCTCACATGGCCCGCTCCTAAGCGACCGGCAAAGAATTTGTCAATCGCTAGTACATGTTCACTAGGCGGTGTCAACTGCTTCATGACACAGTACTTTGAACATGATTTTAGGTAGATTACATTACGAGTACTTCATGCTTGGGTAACTCGCACGGAACTGTTTCTAAGAACAAATAGCTGAATTTTGTCAGATCATCGTAGATAGGATTCATCTTTAGCAACTCCAACATTTGGATTGTATATCGCCTAAATCGATTCTTCCCATCAAGGAAACTATGGCCTGTTGATAAGCTGCTAAGAATTCTTCTTCTCCGAGATAAACATTGCCGACATTATATCGGTTACGTACAGATCTTCCGCGACGAGTACGCAAACATTCTTGACTTTGCTACTACGAAGATTATGAAAGATTCCCTTCTACTTCAAAGCGGATTGAGTGGTCTCCGAAGTTATCTTCGGAGGCGTGATCAGATAAAATTGGTAAGTGCCTATACTTGATCCGTCATTGACCAGGACATTCAATGGCTCTGTTATCTCCTGGGAGCTTATTTTCACATTAAGATGGGGACTTACTCTCTCACTATTTCTTGGGTTAAATCATCACATGGAACGAGTTACCCTCTCGCTATCCTCTGGCTGTATTTGTGCTATCACGACCAGGTCTTCTACGAGCTGTTCTTCAATCGCACTAAGATCATCGTATTGCCAATCAATAAAAGTCGGTTCGTTGTCACTTGAGTTTTGACCGTTTTTTTGGAGGCCACCCATGTTCGAGCAGTTCACTCGACTTACTCGTGTGGTGGGCCTTCGGCGCGATCTGCATCTCAATACAGTCGCCGGGATCTGATTCAATGGTGTGGAGACCATCCACGCCATGGCCATGTGCAATCGTACTAACGACCGAACCACAAGCGAGGCCATCGCACTCGCTCGTAGTACGCACACACGTTAGTAAGCACTCTATAACGTACATTCGATAAACATCTAGTGATCAAGTGACAGGAATATCGACTGTTCGTCGATGTCACCTGACTAGTGGTTCGTATCTTCTGAGCTACGACAGTCCAAGGATAAAATCAAATTTGACATCCAAGTCCAGTATGATAAGTTCATCATAATATTGGACTTCCTTCAGTATATACATAATAACCACTACATGTTTCAGCACTGTTGCAGATGCGCCTGTCACGAGCCCCCCTGTCATCCTCGTTGGGGGGATCTCGCGCATGACATATATTTGAGCTCACTGTTGTCTAGCGATTGACGTAGTACAAAATTGTTCGACGCCCTCTATCGCCTGGAGCTTGAAGCGACATGTTTAGTATCACTTTGAGTTTCAAGATAATAAGGGAAACCTCATTATCGGAAGCGGCAGCACACAATGATTGTGTGCTGGGAACAACATTTGTCAAGAGGCCTGCAAACTCATTTGACGTTTCTGGATCTGTAGGGTGCTTCGGACCAACTGACTCTGACCGTTTTTCGGCTTTCCGTTACGTTGTTGCGCCTTCGCAACAGCGTCGGACTCACGCCTTGGACCCCGCTTGTTTGCTTGGAATGTATATTTATTTGAGGTACGTAGTACCGCGTTCGGGGCACTGGATTGTTTTGAAGGCAAAATGTCCTGTATTCTGACTTCAATTGCACGTTTGCAATTTCTTGCATCTGTTAATACGAGAGCTTCTGCTCTCCGTTTAAAAGAGATTCGTTGGTTCTGGGCCTCCATTTTCTTGTCGTCTTGACGGACGATAAATATTTGAGTTCGCGGGAGCCTATTTCACGCTAACTTCCTCCTTCTCTGCAACCCTTGTGTCGACCTTTAGAATGTGTAATATCAACCAAAACAGGCAGATTACAAAAGGATCATCTGCGAGGTCCTGCATAAAAACCGTAATCAACGTTCGTTCGTTTAGTGGATCGACTGTGACGCAACTGGTAAGTTGACGTGTGTACTGAATGCACGAGCGTACGTCACGTTTACCTTACGTTCTTTTCAGAAGTGCAAAGCAGGCCTTAAAACTTAGTTCGCGGCGGCTCATGTATTTACCTAAGCAGAGACTTGGAGACTTCCACCGATCCAACGACAAATGGGTTGGGTAATTAAAGGCCCAAGGCCCACGTCTTTGCACGCACTACCGAATATAATTGAGAAAATGTGATCTGCAATTACTCATCAAGAATGTGGTGAGCCTTTATGGCATCGTCTGATTCCACGAACCACCTCAACAGAAATTTCTCATCGGCTGCCTAGTACTTTAGGATGTCAATCTTTAGCGTCTCGAGTCGACGTGTGTACGTCGCCCCGGTAGCAGTGGCCTGATGCTGTCTCAACAGTATAAACTATCAGCACTATGTTCTCTCGACAGCTTTGTCTAACAAAAACCTTGATGGTGAAGCAAGGTTACCCTTTCTCGCTGGACGTCAAGTTCATTCAGATTGAACTTGGCGATGGTGGCGTGCTGTCCGTCTGGCCCCAAGGCGGACAGCATTACTCCAACAGCTTCTTGCCCTATCGTCGAACTTAAACTTTTGACGGCATCATATTCAATTTGACTCAAATGGAGTAGCCTCCATGAGTTATATGAACGTCATCGTCCTCATCGTCCAATATGTTCATGGTCGTTGAACAAACCACGAAATGCTACCAGGTGCATCGGGGTACACCTTATTCCTCTAATTCTATAAACTTGAGAGTACAAAGGTGTGTGCGTCCGAGTACCTCACATACACGTCGTGTAGATGGAGATTGTTTTACGGAGTAAGAGCACCTAGTTAGGGTTGAGAGTAGAACTGTTAATAGTTTAGTCAATCCAATAATAAATCTCTTGTTTGGTTTTATCTATGTCTAAATACAAACAGGTAATATAACTATCTGCCCATTACTCATTGCGTGCTTCTGCCGTGGCTAGACTTTACTGGTTGATATCCCGATCCCATATCAACCAATGAGCAGTGTATTACGTCTGCAAAGCAATATTATCAATAAGGACAATTTTGTTAGAGAATATTGTGTTTGTCCTAACACAATTGTGGACTCTACGCCAGCGGAGTGGCGTACAGCGTAAAATATAAAACTTTCTAATTTAAATCATATAAACGATATAAAGCATTTCCTTTTGTTGAATTTCATTTAAAAGCGTTTTCATAGCTTTCTGTCCGACTAAATTGCCCCATTCCAACAACTCCTCTGGAAAGTGGCTAACAGACGCTGTCTGGCCGAGTTGATCCACATGATTAGTGCAAAATGAGCAATTCACAAACCTCCCGCCGCATTGGTCGATATCCCGCTTTCAGTTTAAATTCAAACATCGCCCAGACAGTCCTTTCACTTGCTGTTTGTATACCGCCATTCCTCCCGCGGCGGCATTCGCGAAGCGAAAAAAGAGGCGCCACCAACGGACACACGCCGCGCGTCTCCCTCTATGACGCCCCCCACGACTCGCTCGACGGTCGACGACGATCCAAACGCTTTGTATCGAGGTGCTCCCCCTCGTGTTGTCAAGGTGCGCGCCATATCGTCGTCCGATCGTCTGTTACGACCCACCAAGGCGTCGCTAGCAGCTTTTAGACCGAAAGTGTTGACAGGGAAGGACAAGGAGCTGGCCGAGGCGCGCGAGAAGGCACTGAAACGGCGTCGACTGACTCGGATCACCAAAGAAAACGGCCGCCTCACCATTCCCCAGTCGCCCAAGTTTCGGCCTTTGAAGATGGCTACACCCCGTTCCCGTGCTGACATGTTGACGCGCACGTCTCGAGAGCTTTTGGAGATTGCCGCGATTCGCAAGCGAGTGCAAGCGCAGAAACGCAAGACGAAGAAGTATCACGATGCGACGACGCACGGGGCCGCTCCAGGCAAGAGCGACCAGTTCTCAAGAGCTCTGTCCGCCAGTGGCGGGGTCGGGGTCCCTGCCGTTCGACGGCCGAAGCTGACGACGCCTGTGGGCTTTGCATTTGAGATCGATAAACGTGCAGCTCGAGCGGAAGCTCGAAAGAGCTTGAAGCGGAAGAGCGCGGTCTTGGTGCCGTCGACGGCAGTAGTGGATGTGCACGAGAGCAACGAGGCAAACGAGAAGGAGAACGTGATTGGTGTCGAAGAGGACGAAGAGGCCGAGAAGAAGAGACGTAAACAGCGTCGGACGTCGACGGTAGCAGCATAGGTCGATACTGGCCAGGTGGATGTGCCTGATTGGAGGCAGCTGCTGTCGTGCTTTGTTGACTCATAGTGACGTTTTTAATACATGATTTAATGCTACTTGACAATTCGACATTTTGGTTTCAGGCCAGTCAGTCGTGACGACTGACTGCTTCGCAGGTCGAAGAAGAAAGAAATGTAACTAGAGCGCCAACGGGGTCCCTGGCATCCGACGAGCTTTTTTCCATGCAGTCGAGACACAAGCAGTCGGCCGTTGTAGCACCGTGACAACACTTGATTGTGATCTGATCCTCGTATCTTCCTTTTCTGGGCGAGTGCAGTCTGCAGACGACTTGGTTGGATAGCCTCGTGGCCGAACAGCTGCCGGCAGGACGGCTACTTGATTGCGCCGAGGAGTGCAACGGCATCGTCAGACGGCGTCAAATCAGCAACTGAGGAGTCGGCAGTCGATCGTCGACTTTGTGCAGCTTTAGCTCCGAATACCTTGATGCCTTGCAATTACCTCCTAATTTAGTACTACCTTTGGGCAGCCAGCCGCTGCCCTGAGCGCTGCGCTATCGTCTACATTGAGACTTTGTTCGCACAATCGACTGACCTAGAGTACGTAACGATCAAATGAGCACTTCCTTTCGAATCCGATCGATCGATTAATTCTCTCTCTCTCTGGCAATTGAGTCGAATATTTGATCGATTACAAATGTTGGCGAGTGAATTCTTGTCACACGCTGTTGAGGGCGAAGTCGACGCGCTTTCGCACACTCGCAGCCCCTTCGCACATTTTGCGATGATTTTCAGCGGCCTCAGTGCCGCTGCTGCTGCAGATTCGCGTGCGGGAAAAGCCAATAAAAAAGATTTCGTCGTCTATTTTAACGATGATGAGCCGCTGAATCTGCATATCCCAATGCGTCGAATACCTTTCCGAAGAAATGTGCACGATACTTGATTTAAATGGAGGCTATTGATGAGATTCGAACCTCCGACGAAGACTTCTCATACTACATAAACTCGACCGAGGACGTATCAACTGAACTGTATAAATAGATTGTACGTTTGCGATGCTTGACGCCAAGTATCGCGTACGTGTCGGAAAACTACACACGGCAATTATGTCAGAGACAAGTCTGGCTAAAGTCTCGACAGTGACTTGGTCGTCCGACCCCTTTTTCTGTTAGCTTGACATATGCTCGTAACTCGAGTGTACGCTGAGTGAGAAAAACATGTTTGTAGTTGAGGTGCTTCTTGGCCTTGTTCCCTCTTAGAGACATTGCGTGTCAACTTGCCTGATACCGCCCCTACGCCGGTGCCACCGTTGCCCGCATACAGTTGCATCCCGCCAAGTCATGCACGTAGCCGTGGTATTTCACCAGCGAGAGCCGGCCTGTGTCGCCGGGTCCCATGCAAGCTGGCCCGGCCTCCCACTCCATGGAAGGAAATGCCGCGTGTATGCAGTAGAAGCGGCGTCTGGTGTCTCATCCGCAATCTAGACGAGTCAGCAATCGCATGATGTAAGCAGACGAATGCAGCTGGAGACTAAATTCATGCGAGCCCGGCGTAAGTGAAAGGAGCAAAAAGAAGGGCCTGCGAAAGGAAGCAGTCCGAAGGACCATCGCAGCGCCTCGGTCGCATATCGAGCGGCTCTGACAAAGGCCGGAATTGCCCAGCTGGACTTTAGTTTGCACTGGTCTCGCCGTTCGTCCATCGCAGCCTGCGATTTCAGTTTCAGCACGCGGACGCCAATCGAAAGATCTTTTCGGGCCTCGCCACTCCTGACACGACAAAACCGGTGTCGCAGACGTGACAGAAGCGAAGTTTGCCAAGAAAGCTATTTATCTTTCCTGACGGACGGCACGCTGCTACTTGGTCGGCCGTCGCTTTTCTTTTTCTAGAATAAGTTCATAACAGAGACATTTGCATGAATTTGTCAAGGACGACTTGCAACGGCCACGGCTCGGTCTCACGTGCTGTTTAGCTCCGCATGGCGTATGCGATGTTACGGCAGCTTGTATAATTTTCTCTCTTAAGGTTCGAAACCTGATGCGAGCACATTAGGCCACGCCTTTTTATCGAGATATGTGACCATCGCTTATACAGCGGTGTGCTCTGCACCGATGCCTGCTTAAAAAGTCAATTACGATGATCGTAGATTAGACAGAGTTGTTAGTAGACCGCTCGGACCTAGTACATGAATATGCGATCGTGTGCGGATAATCTTATCGCGTTGTCGTTGACGGTTTTCGCGACGTGTTTTCGCGACTTAACTGGCTGCAGGGTTGAGACGCCAAACCGGGAATAAAAGCGACGCGACAACAATAGGCTATCTAGTGCATCCACGGTCGCTGGATGACTTGCATTTGATCCGAGCACGTTTCATACGCCGCTTGGACTCGACGAGCTCGCTCGTAATTTATCCTCGTCTGGTAATTTTAATGCGTGTTTTTTATCGTGAAACAGACGAGCCGACGGGATCGACAGCTGCCATTGGTCAATCGTTTGCTTTGGACCGCTCTGAGCCATATATTACCCCTAACCACGCGCGATGGTGTCCATCTCCTTCTTTGCGCACACAGACAGGCCAACAGCGTGTCAAGGAGAAGAAGACGAGCTTGAAAAGTCACGACATCAATCGTGATCATTTTCCGATTTTGCTCAAGCCGCACACCCCACCAACTAAGCACTCCTCGCTCCTATTGCGACAACTACAACATCACCAACGACCACCACTATGATCGTGATCCCAACAACGAGCGCACAAAACGGAGACAGTGCTGCAGTCCCTGCTGCTGCGCCTACGCCGATCACTCGTGGCTTGTGGTCGGAACAGGAACACGAGCAGTTTCTGCACGCCATGAAAATGTTCCCAACGGGTCCATGGCGCTCGATTGCGGCTTTTATCGGCACGCGATCCATTAAACAAGTGCAGACCCACGCTCAGAAGTACCAGCAGAAGATCAACCGCCGACGCCGTGGGCTCCGAAAACAGAAGAAGAAATTCGTACGCCCGGAGCACCGCGTAGACGCCCACGCAACGGGTTGTATCCAGCGTGTCAAGAATTTCGCCATGCAGGGCTCGCCCCGCTCGCCTTCGTCGTTCCCTATGGGCGCCATGTCGCCGCTTAGTGGCAGCTTTGGTCAGCTATTGACGGGTGCGTGCAGCCCCGTGGCAAGCGACGCCGGCAGTTGCACGAGCAGCAGCACTAGCTTGGACGTAGATTTCGACATGGACATGGATGCACTAATGTGTGACATGGATCCGCTACCATTCACATCCGGGGTATCCTACGAAGAGGTTCTAGCGGATGAAGCTTACCGACAAGACGTGCAGGAGTCGATTGATTTGCTTCTTGCCTAATTTATTATTGCGCCCGAGTGGGCCCTCACTCCGTAGCACGAGACAAGTTTCTGAAAGCAGGAGATAATATCATTTATACGCTTTATTTTTCACATCGGTCTTGGGGTTTTTGTCTACATGCTGCGACGACCCTTTGTGCGTTTTATTGTGAGATAGCGGTCGTTAAGTATTTAGTACCCCCCCGCCCACGCACGTGTTTTGATGGGCCGTTGAGAGCGGTTTCACATGCACGCCATCGGGTATGGCCAACGGTATCACCGACACCAGCAAATCGAAAAAGCAGAGTCTGTTATTATTCGCGAAACGCGGCACAGGGAGCTAACGATGGTCCGCTGCGGAGACGATACCGGTCTGAGACAGCCAATGCACATACTTGCCTCATTAGCAGCAGGATTGTCGATATTCGTGCTGGACAGTGTGCCTTCACCTTGATACGGTGCTATTATTGTTGATACCGCCTGCATCCTTCAGCCGTGCCTCCTGATGGCGGTCAAGGTGTCACCAGGTCGATATCTTCTGCATCTGGTCTACAAGATCTACGCAGTTGCTCGCATCTCTATCTTAGTAGAACACACGCTATGCATTGTATAGCGAATGAACTGTTCCCTGAAATCGCGAGAAAATCGGTGGTCATCCAGATACTTGCTTATCTATCCCGCATGGTCCACCCTACCAATGGTACCGTGAATGTACGAGGCAGGACACGGTCGCATGCGTCTTTGCTGCTTATCGGGTAAAGAGTACTGTTCTACGAGTTAGTATCTGTACATATGATCGGCCATAGACTGTGCCTATGGAAGAAGGGCTGTGCACGTACAAGCAAAGATGAAACGCTCAAGGCTTTACTGCCATAATTTACGTTTTCCTTTGCAGTGTGATGCACACGTACGGCAATAAACGGACTGAAATTTAGAGCAAGCCAAGCCCTTTTTTCCTACTTTTGGTGCACGGCCTACCGCGTATTGCGTTGGTACAAATTTAGCCTCTGATGCAGTACAGGAGTCCGGTGGTCGTCGTTCATTAGTCCTGCGGTGTGTTGTCAAATGATTGGAACATCGGATCAATTGAACATGGCACAGCCGCTCGACCATGATGGCTCGCCCAGCTAAAAAGACACGGTACGAAGCGAACCTACACGCACGTGCAATGCGGACGACACCGAGTATTGCAGATGCTGGATATCCGTGCAAGAGGCACGTTACCGTAATACTGTCAAGGACTGGCGTTCTTGGCGCCTTCATCTTCCACGGTTCGGGTAGATGTGAAAGAAACGTTCTTGTATGCTTCAAGAACGAACCCTGAGCAAACGTACAGGTTCTCCAGACGAACTCAGCTGCGAGTTGTACAGCCTGTCGTGCCAACACCTGCTCTACTACCGTGCATGTATACGCCCACTGGTACCGAGAAATAAGACGGACGCCACACCAGTTGACTCTGGCTCTAGGCAGTCGCAACTGCACGAGACTGCAAGCCCATGATGTACGGGATCATAGAAGCTACGACAGTCCCGGTCTTGAAAGCTCACAGCGACACGATCTTGAACTCGTCACTCTTCAATCTGCAGTGCTGGGTGGGGGAGTATAAACAGGACACGAACTGGCGTTAGCCAGCTCTTCTCGAACGACGGCTCTGGAGCCGCCACCATGCCCCCCTCCCGACAGGGGGGGGGCGCGGCTTTGCCAAGGGGCCAGCCGGACGACCCGGGACACTCTAGTCCGGCCCTCGCCTTACCGGAGGACGCGGGGCCTCCGGAGAAGGCTTCTTCTCCCTCCGCTGGTAGCCCCATATCCTCAGCACACGGGGCAGGGGCTCAAGAACACGCCGCATCTGCTGCTCACGGGACAGGGGCTCCAGTGCACGCCGCATCTTCTGCTCACGGGACAGGGGTTCCAGTGCACGCCGCATCTTCTCCTCTCGCGGACTCGCAGCTGCCGACCTCCTCAGCGGCTATGGAGTCAGGCTTGGCGGGGGTTGCTTCCTTCACCATGGCAGACCATCCACTGCGTAGCGGCGAGACGGATGCACTAACGCCGCGGCTGGACGGACCCACCGGGCGCGCTTCGGGGGAGGATTCCGCGTCCTCCTCGTCGCCTTCGCAGGCTTCCACGCCCCCGGTTCATCCGCGCGAAATGTTTGAGGCCCTTACCGCGGCGATGAAGGCTTCTTCGGGGCCCCCGTACCTAGATGTCTGGCGCCAGACCATCCAGGAGTTATTTGCGCTGGAATTTGCCCGCCTTCCAGTCAGCTTCGATGCGATGCCGGCCGAACGCAAACGGTATCCCAAGCTCACAAGTACTGAGCTGGTGTGTAGCGGAGCTACACAGCTCCTTAAGTCAGAGGAAGACTTAACGCTCTACGAGCAACTTAGTTCCAAAGAACTAACGACTTTACGAGTCAGCAAGCTTTACAGCTTCAGATCCCTGTTCCAGGGGACCTAACGATTCAGTGAATCGACAGCACTTAGTGCTCAAGAGTAGCTACCTCAAGGAGGTGTTGCTAACTCTTAGTGATCAGAGATCAACGATCAAGACGGCTCGCAAGCCACGCGTCTTTCAGATCAAAATGGGAACTGATTTTATTTAATGTTAAAGCCTATAGAATATCTTAATCCTACTCAAAGATCTTTCGTATCTAATGGCTGACACTTGTCAGCCCCTACAAACCGATAAGATATTCTATATCACCTTCACAGAAGCGAACCCTCAGGTGTGTAACACCTCTGGTACAAAGTACCATGATTTCGTGCAACCCCGTTACACCCTCCCCCACCAGACTGACGTTTACCCAAAACGTCAATCGAACTCGTATTCTCAGCGAGAACAGTGCGCGTACGGTGAACCTCACGGTAACGTACGCTCTAGCACGATGTCCTCATCACCAAACGAGTCAAAGGCTCTGTGTGACTACCTCGGAATAGAGGAAGAGGTGGACTATGGTAGCGATACCAGTGTCCGCGGTGACACAGGGACAACGTCCGGCTCACTGATGCCTGAGGCACAACTTTCGAACACCCCAAATCCGTTCGCTGAACGTGGAGGTGCGAGCGCGCCGCCAGCGCAGCGTGCAGCATCTGGGTTTGATGAGACTATCATCGCGAACCCGCTCGATGAGCAACAACAACTGCTTGTTCAAAGAGAACAAAACGCTCAGCGTTATGCACAGATGACTGCAACCCTTGAACGCCAGCGTGATTATGTGTTCACCCCACCCAGTGTGGAGGAACGTCTGCGTCAAGCGGCCGGCCAAACATTGGCAACGTGGGTCATTGGCCATGGGCCTAAGACTCCTGAGGAGGTGGTGAGCTGCCAGGCACTTCGTGAGAGGTACCTGGAGCCGCACCTAACGACTCAAAGTCAATACAAGGCACGCCTTGACATGCAAGCACGTGGTGCACCAGTTCCACCGATGAAGGGTATACCCATTCTCCTGCTCGCAGGCGAAACAGCGAGTGAAGAAGACGATGCCTTTGTTCACTGGGTGCACTATGTGCGTCGCCTCAGCAACATTTTTGCTCTAAGGGCTAGTGCCCATGCGGCGGATGTGCGTCTCGAACGCAAGCTTCGGTATGATTATGCCAAGCTTAAGGCCAGAGGCCAATTGCGCAAGCGCACGCGCTATGCTTCGGCTACTAAGGTAGCCGCGAGTGCTGGTCAGTCTGTGACCAACAACCCGCCAACCCGCACCACTAGTGGTGGTGAACGGCCTCGGCCTCGCGATGACCATGGCCACGATGCTCAAAAGCCTCCAAAGCATATGGGCAGTCTTGCCGAAGGGGTACCTCAAATTCCCATGAGTTTTCAGACTCAGGGTACCCACGCCACTTTACCAGATACTGATATTGGCCCTGACGACGACGTCGTTTCAGTAGTCTCTCGACATGGAATTGACGACACCCATGCTCATCGAGCAACGTCGGTGGCGGCCGGTGTACCGGTGGAGGCCCACGAGAAATTGGTTCTCGAAGTGAGGGGTCTTCAAGCGGCCTTGGGTAAGTCCCAGTGCATGCTGGATGCGATGCAAAACCGCCTTCAGGCGATGGAGCAAGCTCAAACTCGGAGCGAGGCTCAGTTGGACTTGCTGATTCGTCTACAGCAATCCGGGGCGGTGCCCTTGTCGTCGGCGCAAGCGCCTCCAAGTTCACATGGGAAGGATCCCGGTACGGCTTAAGTAAGCCTACGTAGAACACTGGATGTGTGCGCAATTTGCGTGGGAGGTTTAGCGTATACGCAAGTCCCCTTTTGGCCGTGACCGTGAACGGTCCAATAAAGCGTGGACGCAACTTTGTCTTAAAGACAGCAGACACTACATTTGTAGGTAGATTTTTAGCATTGAGTAGTACTTGGTCTCCGACCTCATAACGTTCAATACAATTTCTGCTTTTGGCATCAGCTTGTTGTTTTTGGGTATCTTGGCTATCAGCCATTGCGTCACGCACATGTCTTAGGACATTTAATCGCGTTGCGAGAAACTCGCTTACCTGTTTTTGAACAGTAGCAGGGCTGATATCAGCAAGCCGATCGGCAACCTCTCCCCCCACCAAGCCCTGATTCACGTAGTGATAGCGTTAACGGAACGCGAGGGTGAGTGAGACCGTTTATATAGAACGGAGTAAAGCCTGTTGAGGCATGAACAGCGTTATTCAATGCAAACTCAACAACAGGGAGCATTGAGCTCCAACGCCTAGGCGTATCAGCGCAAATACTGCGCAAAATGTCGTTGATGACGCGGTTTACACGCTCAGTTTGACCGTCGGTCTGCGGATGATCCGCTGTGGACATGTCCAATCGAGTGCCAAGCACCTTGAAGATAGACTTCCAAAACTTCCCAGTGAAGCGGGGGTCTCTATCAGAGATAATTGCCACAGGCAAGCCATGTTGGCGAAACACACGGTCGATAAACAGCTTTGCTGTACCTTCCGCATCGATGCTATCCGGCACAGCCGCTAAGTGAGCCATCTTGCTCAATCGGTCAACAAAGACCACAATACCAGTGTTGCCTTCCGAATCTTTCGGTAGGCCAAACACAAAATCCATGCTCATGGACTCCCAACAACCACTGGGTACTGGCAAACTAGCCAGCGGCGCCGCCGCATGTGCCGAGGGTTTTACCCGTTGACACGTTTCGCACGTACGCACATAGGTGCGCACCCACTTATAAAGTTTGGGCCACCAATAACTTTGGCTCACCGAGCTATAAGTCTTCTCACGACCGAGATGACCACTTAAAGCAGTATCATGTGCCTCATAGAGGATCCGATACTTTAATTCCTCATTATGAGGTACTACGATACGAGGGTTGTCCTCAATATCCGTGCGATAGCACAATAGGCCATTATCGATGGAATATCGATGTAGCCTCGCACGTAAACGTGCCGACAATTCTATGTCCGAGTCTTTAAACTCATTGCTCCCAAGAGCACGTAGCAAAGCTACACACTGATCGTCCTTGGCATATGCCGCACGAATTAAGTCAGGGACTGACGACGACAGGGTCGTAACATGAGCAAGCTCATAGTCAGGTCGACGCGATAGCGCATCAGCCAAAGCGTTTTGCTTACCTGGCTTGTACTTCACCTCGAAGTTATATTCGGCAAAGAAAGATAGCCAACGAGCCATTCTCTGTGAGAGATGAGGCGACTGTGTCGCAGTGCGCAATGACGCATGATCGGTATAGATCACAAATGGCTTCGAGCCAAGCAGATGGACTCTGAATTTGACAAGAGCGTACTTCATAGCAAGTAGCTCTTTGTCATGAACAGGATAGTTCTTTTCAGCAGCTTTCAGCTGTCGAGATTCAAATGCGATGACGCGTTCGCGTCCGTCGACATCTGTTTGTAACAGAGCACTGCCTATGGCAAAGTCAGATGCGTCACAGACGACACTGAAAGGCCGACCAGAATCGGGCAAAGCCAAAATTGGCGCATGGAGGAGACTCTCCTTAACTGCTTCAAAAGCATTATGTTCGGTGTTACCCCAACACCAACCCACATCCTTTTAAGGAGATTGGACAATGGCCGAGCCATATCTGCGTAATTTGCACTATACTTATGTAAGTAATTGGCAAGGCCAAGCCATTTACGCAAGTCCTTTTGGTTCTTGGGGACTGGCCAATCGACTATGGCTTTTACCTTAGCGGGATCCGCTCGAAGGCCTCGCTTCCCAATGAAGCACCCTAGAAAGGGAATCTCTTCTGCACCAAAGATGCACTTCGATGCGTTCGCATACAGCTTATTCGTTCGCATGCACTCGAGCACAGCTCGTAAATGATCAATGTGGTTATCCACATCTGATCGCCCATTCATTGCACGACTATGGACAAAAATGTCATCAAAGTACGTTTGTGCATAGCCTCGATGAGGTCTGAATAGTTGCGTTACCAACCGGTTAAACGTAGCCGGGGCGTTAGATAGCCCTTGCGGCATAACGAGCCACTCCCAAAGCATACCGCTCGGAGTACTCACCGCTGTTAGCGGAATATCGCTTGCTCGCATGAGCAGTTGGTAATAACCATCGACTAAGTCGAGTGCACTGTACAGTGTACATCCCGCCATATTGTTCTGAAGAACATCCTTTCGAGGAATAGGCGTCTGCGCCGGTATAGTAGCTGCATTAAGCTTATTGTAAGCATGCACAATACGCCACTTGCCATTTGGCTTTTTGACACAAAATGTCGGTGTTGAGTGGGGAGACTTGCTCTCACGAACCATCCCAGCCGCGTGCTTAGCACGAAAGAAATCGTCAATGACGTCGCACTGTTCTTTAGGCAAAGGCCACTGCCGTGTTACACAGTATTTAGTTCCAGGAACCAAGTCAATCTCATGACGTACACCTCTATCGGGAGGTAAGGCAGAAGGTGGGTTGTGACACACCACATCTTGAAATTCCTTGACTAAAGGATAGAACGGATCCGACGGATCTTTAAGGATCGAAGATCCACTTCGTGCACTAAGTGCCGCCTTTGTATCCTCTAGGACAGACTCATCCATTAACGAGGAAGAGTTCAACTCAGTATCAGGTCTAATGACCGCTAACTCGGATAACTCTCCTGCCTTCAAGGCCTGGCTAAACTCGCCATCAGACATTTCGTCTAGCTCACAAAGAGCGTCCACGGATGGAAGGGTTTCAAGGCAAACACTGCCATCAACCCGACCAGTCACTCCATTAACAAGTGTATACAGTGTATTGATAATCTCACTATGTGACTGTGAGGACGCCTGGCGCTTTACAGCTGCTACTCGGCGTCTCGATTGTCTCTTCGAGACCTTACTCCCCTTAGGGGTCGGGACAATATTGTCCCCATGGTTACTACCAACCATAGTATGCTCTATACGAGAGCTTTTGTCTTGACCGACATTAGGTGTGGTGCCCTCACGGCCGCCCACACCATATGGCGAATCGCCAACAACGCCATTACCGGCGTTAAGCGTGGTGCCCTCACGGCCGTCCACACTATACGGCGTATCGCCAACAATGTCATTACTGTCATTAGATGTGGTGCCCTCACGGCCGCCCACACTATACGGCGTATCGCCAACAATGTCATTACTGACATTAGGTGTGGTGCCCTCACGGCCGCCCACACTATACGGCGTATCGCCAACAATGTCATTACCGACATTCAGTGCGGTGCTCTCACGGCCGACCGCACTCGGTGTAGTTTCACGTGCCACCATACACACATCAAAGGAATCACGTCCTTGATCACTCGGCCCTAGGCCAACCATGCTTTCAGCATGCAGTGACTCGTTATCACAACGAGTACCACTCAACGGAGTACGTGCCGTTTCACTAGTTTTAGACGAGCTAGGCTCGAAACTTATGTTTGTAACATGGGAGTTAGATAACTCGGACATTCCAATATCCAGCACATTGACATCTTCTGTCAAAGGCTCGCGCCAATAGCGCTTTTGCTGCCTAGCAAAGGTGGGTTCATGACTCTCCAAAGCTTCGCTAGGAACATTGCGCGTAGCGCCTAAGGTCTTAGACCTCCAATCAATCCATGGCTCATGGCGCTCAAGCCAAGCCATACCTAGGATGAGATCATATCTCGAGTCCAAATCTAGGACAAGACAGCGCTCAATACTGTCAAAGTCTAAAAACGTTATACCTAAGTTCAATGGAACTTTAGGCACCGTTACGCGACTTCCAGTCGCTAAACGAACCGTGATAGAATCACCCTCATGCGCTGTAAGCGCCTCAACATAACGCTGACTTCCCTCAAGGGAACGGCGTCGAGCATAATTGCAAGACGCTCCAGAATCGATCAATATCGACCAAGGCTTCTCGAAGCCCTTAATTTTCGCCTCGGCGACCAACAAGCCAGACTTGTATCCACGCACCATACCCGTAGGTATGGTACTCTTTGGGGCTAAGCCCTGCATTCCTTTACCTCCTAAAGGTGTAACAGAACATAGTTCTTCCCCAGTAGGGCGCCCCGCGCCTACTGGGTGTCGGCATTTCCCCGTGCCATGCCAGACTTCTGACTCGGGGTCGAGTGTTGGCTCGTAGTCTGGCGTTGCTTACGCAAAGGGCAACCAGGCCGCAAGTGTTTAGTGCTTCCGCACATAAAGCATCGTCTTACAACGTGTTGCTGCTCAGCAGCTCGAAGCTCAGCTTCACCTCCATCTTCAGCATAGCTGAGATCCATCGGTTCCGGCCTATTATAGGCAGTGGTACCCGAATAGTTTGCTCTCACAGAGCGAGGATTGTATCCATTCCAACCAAGTCTGGCCGACTTGAAATTATGCTCAGCATTAAGAGCAATTCTCACAGCCTCTTCAAACGTAGAGGGGTGAACCCGAAAAACCTCGGTTCTGGCAATGCCAGTACGTAGACCTTCCATGAAGATAGTCACATGGACTGCTTCAGGCAGAGGGTCAGACTGCATTGCAGCCATGAGCGTTCGCAGCTCTTGGACATAGTCCGATAATTCATTCTTACCCTGGCGGGTAGAAAGAAAGCGTGAGCGCACGCGGTAAGCCTGGTTAGGTGGAGAAAACACCTGTACCAATTGTGATTTGAGCGACTCCCATGTGGGAAACGCTATGTCCACCGACGTGCTACACGTCAAGGCCCATTCTCTAGCTCTACCATCGAGCTTCGAGATAGCCAGCGAGACCTGTTGATGGTCAAGCGTGATCAGGCCTGATCTCATGGCCATCTCGATCTCACGGATCCAGAGGATGAGATTCTCACCCTCCTTGCCGGAGTAGTTTTTACGTCCACTTTAAGTGGACGAGGCTTAGCCTCTTCGTCTGGTACAGACACGAAGCGTGTAGGCATAGCCGACGCTATTTGGTCTTGGACCTGCCCTAAAAGGGTCGCTTCATACTGCATGAAGCCGTCAACACGTGCATTAAGCACTTCAGGACCTTGTGAAACAAGAAACTCCACGTACTCTGGACCCAAAGATGCGGTCAGCTTGTCAAGCGCGACCTTTTGGGCCTCAGATAGGGGAGTGATGCTTTCCATCCTCACAGAGGATCAGTCTTAAAGACTCAGGCGTAGATTGACTACAAGTGCTACCAAGTGTAGCGGAGCTACACAGCTCCTTAAGTCAGAGGAAGACTTAACGCTCTACGAGCAACTTAGTTCCAAAGAACTAACGACTTTACGAGTCAGCAAGCTTTACAGCTTCAGATCCCTGTTCCAGGGGACCTAACGATTCAGTGAATCGACAGCACTTAGTGCTCAAGAGTAGCTACCTCAAGGAGGTGTTGCTAACTCTTAGTGATCAGAGATCAACGATCAAGACGGCTCGCAAGCCACGCGTCTTTCAGATCAAAATGGGAACTGATTTTATTTAATGTTAAAGCCTATAGAATATCTTAATCCTACTCAAAGATCTTTCGTATCTAATGGCTGACACTTGTCAGCCCCTACAAACCGATAAGATATTCTATATCACCTTCACAGAAGCGAACCCTCAGGTGTGTAACACCTCTGGTACAAAGTACCATGATTTCGTGCAACCCCGTTACATGGTGAGTTTACTGGATTTGTTTAAGCAGTGTTTTGTTGTGACATCCGGCCGCTACGTCGACTGGACCCGTTTAGCCCACCAGATCAGTAAGGAGATCCTTGTCACGAAGGGGGCGTTTAAAGAAATCTTGCGCAAGTTGGCCAGCCGACAGAAATGGTCTGTGGCTCCAATCCCGCGGCTGTGGTCTCAAGTCGTGCAGACAGGCAGTGCTGCTGCACCTGCCAGTACGACAGGCAAGCAGCGTCCCGTGTTCGATGACTTTATGTTTGATCCGGCACATTTTTCGGTGGAAGAGACGACCACGCTCCGCGCCATTTGCTTAACGCGCCTTAACTTGACAGGTACTCACCGTCTGCGCGAGGGTACAGATGATGAATGGCGCATCATCATTGGGATTGCGGAAGGGCATATTGCCTGTCGTCGGCTGCCTGATTTTCTTAATTCTGTCTTCGACAGCGACGAGCGGCTGCGGTTGTGTCGGACTGTTCAGGCGCAGGTCGAGGGACAGTTGGTATTAAAACTTAGACATGGTCGTGATATCCCGATTGGACGCCGGACGACACACGCTATTACGGAGAAGATTTTGGAATCGGCGGAAATCTTGCGGGTCTGCTTGCCGGATCTTCACCGTTTCCTCGGGTTGGCCAAGACGATAAGCTACAATCGTTCTACCCGGTCAATCCACTTCTATTTCTTTACGCGAGCCATTGCCAAGGCGCACCAGGATGTCGTAGTGCCTTTTCAGGGGAGGGCGTACACGCTCGAGAATGTTCATCACCCGGTCAGGGGCTCGGTCTGGTTGAATCAGCGGGGACCAGACGGGCGGTCGAGCCACCCTCGGGCAGCATACACCATTTTGCTGTATAATCTCACCCGGTTTGATGATATTGGGCGCATTGCTGCCTACCTCCGCTCCAAGATACCAACGGATTTTGAGCTGGAGGATATGGATATCTGTACCCCGAACTCACGTACGTCCACTGCCTGGAAAGTCACCTTTCATCTGGCGGGTTGCCCGACCTTTCTCCAAGGAATAGTCAGACTGCTTTGGTTTGGGACCCCCATTATCGTCCGGCATCCGGACGTGGGCCGTCGCCTCCAATGTTTGCAATGTGGTACGCTAGGCCACCCGGCGTCGAGGTGTCAGTTCACCGATGCGCAGTTGCGGGGGCCGGGCGGGCTGGAGGTCCACGAAGCCGAGCTTTGAGCTGTTGAAGATCTGGCCAAACCTTTTAGTAGCCCCGACGAAATGCGGCAAATGGCGCAGCGACGACTGCTTGTGCAGCAATCAGCCGATGCAGCGGCACAAGCTGCGGTGACTCCGGCGGTACCGGTCGCCACTTCCAGTCCACCGCCGGCCGCCGATCCCCAGCCTACAGGTATCCCTATCCAATCAGTGTATACTACTCATGTCGCGCACGCGGGCCCGCCGCCTCCGGCCCCAAAACCCCCGCCCGAACAGCCATGGATGAGACGCCCCCTTCGAGGGGGTCGTCGGCCTTGGCCCCCAGTTCAGCCTTCCCCGCCTCAGCTGAACGTCAGCAGCGGGAGTTATCACGTTCTCCAGGAGGTTGGTAGGGCAGAGGAGGGTCCGTCTTCCCCATTTGAAGGAAGTGTCGCCTCTGCACCTCCGCAGCCGGGGACTGGAGGCTCCCCGACTCCTGCTTTTTCGGCACGGCTGTCCCACTCTCGGCTTCTGCCGGAGGATCGGGCCCGGAAACAAGCAGCCGGTATCCGGGGCCCGGCGGTAGTTACCGCGGGTCCGGCTCTCCTGACCCAGCATCGACGGGAACGTCTGACTTGCGAAAAGCTTTTAAAGCTGCTGCCGAATCGGCAATATCACTCGATACCCATGGATCCTAAGCCGCCAGCGGAACCCATCCACATGGGCGAGCTTGTGAGTATTCTGGGACTTCGGGAGATTAACACCCCAGCGAACGGCAATTGTTTGGCGATAGCTCTTGCTCAAGCGGTGGCTGAGTCTGCCTTGACCGCCCCTACCAAGGACCAGGAGCTTCTCACGGCTTGCATCAAACGAGGTATCACGTGTACAGGACTCTTGAACTTGGAGGATCAGCTCCCTCACGACCTGCGGGTGCAGGCACTTAAGAATGTGGGCCGTGGGTGGGCGTCGATGACGCGCACAGAGTCGGCTTCTCAATTCCGCTGGTTTTTGACGGACTTTGCGGCCACCCCATCGGGGCGAACTTCGCATGCGCCTACGGACTGTTGGGGGGCAGTGACACACTCGGCATGGCAGCCACGTTTTTACAGAGAGACATCTTTGTCGTTCAACGCGAGGAAGCCACCCCTCAGTGGCGTTGCCGCGAGTATCACCCCGTTTCGATGACTATACGGGGACGGGCGGTGGATTCTGTAAAAGAGTACCCCCTTTCTCTTATGGCGTGTATCGACGAGCTGCAGGCTACCAAAGTCGAGGCGACCCAGGCTCTACCGTTAGTGTTGCGGTTTGGCGGCAGCCACTACTCGGCATTGCTCCATTCAGCGGGAGTGGCCGATCCGTTAAACCTTACCGATACCCAGGACGGGCCGAGTGCGTCGCTGTAGGATCCGGTCCACTCCTTCGGGGACGCTAGAGCCACATCGTTGGTACCATTAGGGGAGAAAAGCGCTTCAGCACTGCTCTCAGACAACAAACGCCTTCCAGACAGCGGTGACCGGACGTCGATCGTCATTTACGACGCTGGAGACGCGGTCGCTCGAACCTCGGCACAACCCTCATGTCAATTGGCTCTAACTTCTACTTCGAGCAGCTGTAGCGAACGCGGGATGGCCTCTGCGGCCCGGAAACGGGGCCACGGCGGCTCTCCCCCGCTCCTGGCGGCGTCTGCGGATCCAGGTGCCGTCGTTCCGATCGGCTCTCGCCACAAGAAAGGTCGGGTTCGTTCAGCCCTACGGAATTCTTCACTAGACGCGCCGGACGACAGAATCGATCGGGACGAATGGCCGGAGCTCTGGAGTTATCTGGGAGCCGAATGGCCGACAACAGCAGCAACACCGTATCCTCTAGTATACGGTGACTCCAACGGGTGTGAGACTACGGCTCGTTTGGAGCCGGAATTGTTACTCCATCACTTGCGCCGCTTCGTCTTTCCAGACGAAGTACTTGCTAGCTAGTCCGACACAGTTTTTGTACAGTGGACGGCGCTGTGGCGCCAGGAGTGTTTATTATCCGGGCTCCTAGAATTCCGACAGCGAGTGACAGAGCTACCCACGGGTGTTTGGCTCGACCAATGGATTGCTCGATCGCAGCAGCGCCTTTCGCCGTCTCTGCTGGCCCCGCTGATTGACAATTCTGACGATTGGAGAAAGTTGCGAGGGATTAACTATGCGGGGGACGACATTTTACGATTGTGTGACCCGCACAGACGCGTCCGAATGAGTCACCACCTCATGTGTGCCATCGTGTTCGACAACGAGATTTTTGCGCTGACGGGACTGGCGGAAAGCCAGTACGCCCTCCCGAGCAACTCCGTTGCCACTTTAGCTTACTTCAGACCAATAGTACCTACAAGGATACGTACTACCCAGACGGGGATGCTCCGATCGACTGGACTGCGCTCGTTCGCTATTTTACTACTGCTTTGGCCCCGGCAGAGCAGAGGTTCCTCCTCGAGTACTAAGGGCAGCTTACAGCAGCATTCCTTCTTCAGCCCCGAAGTTCCTTTCTTTGAGAAGGCGGACGCCTACAGCCGGCATCGCAAACTTCAAAACTGGTCTCCGTCCTGGACTTCAGCAGTTAATTCACCGGATTCTCGGGGTGGGGACAGGCTCCTTATTTCCCAAAACGTGAGGGGCTTCAAGGCTAGCGCTCGGGAAGGGTGGATGTCGGCGTGGCGTGGTGCGCCTCAGATCCGTCGCCCCCAGGCTTTGTGTATTCAGGAGACGCATGTACGTACTGACGAAGAGGCAGGTAGGCTGAGTTCCAGGTGGGCTCAGTTATGGGATCAACACCTTGATCCTGACGCCCCTCCTCTATCGTTCTGGAGTATTGGCTCTTCCAGCATAGCTGCTGTTGCCATTCTTCTTACCCCTCATTCTGCTCGTACAGCTTCGGCATGGGAACCGGAACGCTGGTCACCCCGGGCGATCGCAATTTCCATTGGGGAGGATGTTCTGATCAATGTGTACGCACCTACACTGCGAGTTGAACGGGAGGACTTCTTTACTTCCCTTCTCAGCTGGAATTATATGGCCTCCAACACTATTATTGCGGGCGACTTTAACTGCGTCCAGTGCCCTCTCCTCGATCGGTACGGCAGTCACCGATCGCACCGATCGGAAAGCCCTGCCCTGGACGCGGCAGTTGCGACACTGAGCTTGGCGGATGCGAGAGATCTTCGGGATCATGCGGATGACTAGGGCACTGACGATCCTACTGACCATTTCACTTACTGGAATGGGGACCGTGCCAGTCGCATCAATCGTTTCTATGTGCCTGAAGGGTGGGTAGGTCGAGTGCTGTGGATTGAAGCGAGGGTGCCATCAAATCAGTCGGACCATCAGGAGGTTGTGCTACACCTACGTGACCTGAACAAACCTCGTCCGTCAAGCCGGCATGGGCGTGTAACATATCCGATTCATTCATCGAACCCTGCCAGGATCGTTGACGAACTCGTCGCGGAAATGGACGGGAGGGCTATAAGTCAAAGCGTTTCTACCCTCACTTGGGATGCGGATGTCACAGAGTGTCAACAGTGCATTCGACGCATCCGGAAGCGGGTCAAACAGCGCAGAGCACGATTTCGTCGGAAGATTCAGGGCAGAGCTCGGCGACCTCTCCTCACCCGGCCGCAATTTATCTCCTGCAATATCGAGGAATTACGGCAGGAACATCTGGTGCGACTGGGCCAGAAGCTCGCCAGGACGGCTGACCAGTTGCGCTATTTTTACAAGCGGGTTGCCGACTGGGAACGCAATCAAACAGTCACAACAATTTCGCGCATCCACGGCCCGCATTTTACCCGGGATATGACTATCGCGGATAAATTTGCCTCCGAATGGTCTACAGTCCTTGGCAAAGTTCATTGCCAGGAGGAGAGAGTGGACTTGCCATCAGCCATTCGCCGTTTTGTCAATCTACCCACAGACCGGGTCTTGTCTTCTGCCGACACCCGGGCTCTCTTGGCTGATTTTTCGGAAGCGGAGGTCCTTGCAGACGTTTCTGGGCTCAGTCGACATAAGTCTGCGGGACTGGACGGGCTGAACAACGATTTTTACAAGGATACGTCTGCACTTCTTGTCCCCGCCCTGGTCCAGCTCAGCAATCAAATTTTGGCTGGAGCTGATCCCCGCCTTCGTTTCTCGAAGCTTTGATCATACCCTTGCGTAAAAAGGGAGACTCGGCGGATGCGATGGATTACAGACCGATTTCTCTACTCCAAACCAGTTACAAGATCTTTGCGAAAGTGCTGGCCACACGACTGCAACGCGTATTACCAAAAGTCATTGGTGACTCGCAGCAAGGCTTCGTACACGGACGCCAGATGTCTAAACTAGTGTTGATGATGCTCGCTCAACTGGCGACAGCAACATCGGGTACAACTACATCCGCCGACGACAGCCGAGTGATCCTCCTACTGGATTTCCGCAAGGCTTATGACACGGTCGATCGCGAATTCCTGTATGAAGATCTTCGCCAATTTGGGTTCGCGGAAAGGTATGTTCAGCTTATTACTCGACTACATACTGGTACTACGGCCGCGTTCCTTGTAAATGGGGAACAGTCTGGTCCCATCTCCGTCGTTTCCGGTATCCGGCAAGGCTGTCCACTCGCCCCTTTGCTTTTTCTCGTCGTGGTGGAGATATTGAACGTTGCGGTACAGCAATCACCAGATTTGTCTGGGCTTCCTGTCCCTGGACAACATCCGGCAACGCACGTTTTCTCGGCGTTTGTGGATGACTCGACGATCTTTCTCGAGAAGGCCAGTCAGCTGGAGCCAGCGTTAGCTCTTGTCTCTCAATTTGGGACCCTATCAGGGCTAGTTGCCCAACCCTCCAAAAGTCAGATCATTTGTCTTAATCGCGCTGTGCACGTAGCCGACATGCGGGGCATTCCGGTCCTTCAACAGGCGGACACCGTGAGATACCTGGGCTATCAAGTCGGACTGAGACCCTTACACAATTGCTACTGGGCGCTTCGCATCCGGAAGCTTCAACGGAGGCTAATGACAGCTTCTAGGGTGGCGATGTAACGGGTCACCCTGAAGCTTGTACTGGTGACAGTACAAGCTACTTATTCTGATGACAGAATAAGGCGGTGCCTCGTAACTTCACGTACACTCGTACGTGCAGAGGAAGACGATAAGAAGAAGCGAGTACTTGGTTAAAGTAAAAAGTAGAACTGTATTTATAATAGTTAATGTCTGCAATAAATCACTATTTATCTTCATCTAACTATGTCTAAATACAAATGTGTAAATCAGTTATCTGCTCACCACTCATTGCGTGCGTCTGTCGTGGCGCGTCTTCGTTGGTTGATATAATGGCCTATATCAACCAATTAGGAACTACTTGGAAGTGCTACAGAATATTGTCCTTATGACAATATTCTGAGAATATAACTCTTATAGTTATATTCTATTAACAATTTCTTATAAATTGTTATGTAACGATTCACCCCGTTACATCACCCCCCCCTTAACCATCAGTCACTTTAGTGACTGATTGACTAAATGGATACTCGTCCCAAATCATTTGGGACAGGGTTTGCACTTGTTGGTCCGCGTCCACTTTCCAACATATCATCGCATGGTAAACAAGCCCATGAGATGCGCGAGCAAGGCCGCCGAGAGCGCGTCCGCACGTCTCTGTGCGGACGCCGAAGCAGAAACAACAGCAACTGATGTCTCATCGGTTGCTGAAGCGACCCAGCCTGTGTCACTTGGTGATGCAGGCGCTGGTCATGAAGACACTCATGTCTTCACAGAGTACGAGCTCGGTGTCTCTTACTCTCCTGATACGGAAGACGGATCCGTATCGACGGCGATCGAATCCAAGCCGCCTGCCAAGCGTGGCATGGACGATGCTTTGCGTCGTAGCATCTTTGGTTCATCTGATGAATAAGATGAACCATCTCCGAAGCGAAGGCGCTCGAGGTCGCGAGATTCGGGCGCTAACAGTGGTGTCGGTTCTCCTATGGACACCACTTCGCAACGAGGTTCCAGTACTTCTGTCGGCACATCGCAGGAAGAGCGGGACCGCAATGTCTTGCGTCTCGCTCCTGAGAATAAGGCATGGATGCCTCCCAAATCAGTCATGGATCACTTGTCGGCGACGATGAGTGATCGTTATCGAACACGGTTGTTCGATTCGTCAAGGATTCATCACCTTGACCCCAGCGCGAAAAACTATCGCGCTAAGAATGAATTCTTCATCGATGCTTTCTTTAGACATCGATGGTACAGTGGGAATCACAAGCGTGATGGTCCCTCACTGCTTCAGGCGTGGAACGCCTACATCCATAACCCTGAGGATGTAGGTCGTGACGCTTGGAACGACAAACTTATCAAAGCTCGTGATAAGTTTGAAAAGCGAACCCCAACAGGTGCACGCTACAAGCTGCATCGTCTGTCAAGGGAGAAGGGATTGCCCTGCCTCTCTTGGGGAGACTCGTGCCCGTGTTGTGTGAACAACTCTGCACGAGCACCTAAGGAGGCTTACCTCCCTAATAGCCCGTGGTGGCGCGTACGTGTCTCTATTGAGATGTACGAAGGGATTGACAACCTGAAATCCCTTTACGACCGTGCCGGAAAGACTTTCTCCGGCGGTCCTTCTGCGGCACAGGATGTGCCGCGTCGTACTGCTCAACCAGACCCAGTACGTCGATCATCAGTTGGGAGCGGGGCTCCCAAGAATCCCAGGACGGGGGATAGCCGCGCCACCGGACGAGATAACTCGTCCGACGTCCGTTCACGTCGCGGTGGTTCAACAGCTGCTTAACTAGATAGCGCTGGCCACCGCGAGAGTCCTCTAATGGAGGTGGAGGAGGAGGAAAGACGCTCTCCACACGATCATGGGGATCGGTGTGTTCCCGATAGCTTCTTTGATCGCGTAACGCAAGGGTTACGCGACGATCTCGAACATGAGCGGAATAGGCGTCTCCAACTGGCGGACACTGCCTTGAAGCATCGAGCTGAGTTTGCCTTTGCTCAGCTCGAGAACGAGAGATCTCTGACATCTCTTCGTGACGAGCTAAGGGTAGCTCGTGGGATTGCTGATCGGTCTCGGGATGAGATAGCTGCTCTTCAGACCCTTGTTGATGCCCACCATCGGGAGCACAAGGCTCTCTGCAAGATGCTTGAGCGCAAGGGCGTTCTTCATCGGAAGAAGCAGCGTACTGATGGTACGGCTTAAGCCGACCAACGTAAAACGTGGGATGCGTTTGCATCTTACGTGGCAACTCAATTGTGTATGCATTGCCTAGGCGATGCAATACACGAAATGGGCCAATGTACTTGGGTAGAAGTTTACTACTACCCAGGTTAGTCACTACATGCTTTGGTAGGTTAACCGTAGACAGTAGGACTAAGTCACCTTTATTAAATAAAAGAGTGTTTGCCTTCCATTCTTGTCAGCGTTTTGCTTTTGCTTATCCACCACTTCGGCGATGGAGTCTTGCACAAAACGGACTACCGTTTCACGAGCCAGTATGAACTCATCTGATGACTCGTTAGCTTCAGTGCGCTGTGAGCGCACTGCAGCAACATCAACCTTTTCTTCAGTGAGGGCTTCCGCACTCTCACTGGCATCATCTTCTTCGATATCGATGTTATCGATATCGGCATCAAACGCAATGACCTCTTCGTCAGAGCGTGATGAGCGTGAACCAAATCGGTTTTTGCTCGCGCGAGTCCCTCCCCCCTTAAACCAGAGTTACACTCTAGTAAGGTGGGTACACGCGGACGGCGCAAGCCATTCACGTAAAACGGTGTATGTGTCGTGGACGCATGCACCGAGTTGTTGATGGCAAACTCTACCATCGGCAAAAACTCACTCCAACTCTTAAAGGAGTGTACGTATCCTCGAAGTATCTCTTCAAGGACACGATTGGCACGTTCCGTCTGACCATCTGACTCTGGATGATCAGATGTTGACATCTTCAAGCGCGTTCCGAGTGATTTGAACACGGAACGCCAGAAATCAGCAGTGAATCGTGGATCTCTGTCTGATACGAGTTCACGGGGCAACCCATGAAGTCGGAAGATGGTGTCAATAAAGACACAAGCACAGCCACTTGCCGTGATTGTCTCTGGTACAGCCACAAGGTGTACCATTTTGCTGAATCTGTCAGCAAATACGAGAATACCCGTATTCCCGCGTGCGTCTTTGGGTAAACCGAAGACGAAATCCATTGAGATGGATTCCCAGCACTCAGCCGGAACCGGTAGAGGCTGTAAAGGTGCACGCAGTGAAGGGCTTGACTTCACTCGTTGGCAGACTTCGCATGCGCGAACATACTTTCGCACAAACTGATACTGGCGGGGCCAGTAAAAGTCTCGACTCACCGTGAGATATGTTTTCTCTCGGCCACGATGTCCTCCTATAGGAGCATCGTGATACTCAAACATGATCCGCAAACGCAGATCAATATCATCTGGAATGACAACACGTGGTGTGTCACCAGAAACGGCTGTATAGTACAGTAAACCGTTACGAGTAGTGTATCGATCTGATGCAGATCGATACGCAGGCGACAATCGTTTCAACGATTCTCGAGATGGTTGTGAGAGATGTGTCAACAACTTCACTATCTCACCATCTTGGGCGTGTGCCCGCCTCACATTATCATACAACGCTGTAGATGGGACTGAGGACGTCATAACCGCAACAGTGACTGCCTCGCTGTTGGGTTTCACGACTGTTTCAAAGTCGGGACGACGTGAGAGTGCATCAGCGATGACATTAAGTCGTCCTGGTTTGTACTCGACCGTAAAGTTGTATTCCGCAAAGAATGACAACCACCGCGCCATTCGTTGTGAAAGGTGCGGGCTGTTCACTGCCGTGCGTAAGGACGCATGGTCAGTGTAAACAATGAAGGGTCTATCTCCTCATAGATAGACTCTGAACTTCGCGAGTGCATACTTCATGGCAAGAAGTATCTTGTCATGCACTGGATAGTTCCGCTCAGCCGGTTGCAGCTGACGCGACTGATAGCAGACGACGCGTTCAACGCCTTCAAGATCGTACTGCATTAATGCACAGCCGATTGCGAAATCGCTGGAATCACAGACCACATGAAATGGCCTGTCCTGATCGGCTATTGCTAGGACTGGGGATTGTATCAAGCTCTGATTGATACCCTCAAAGGAGCGCTGACATTCAGCGTTCCATAACCACCTCTCGTTCTTTTTCAACAAAAGAGAGAGGTGCACAGTCATCTCGGCGTAATTGCGTGAATACTTATGCAAATACGCCGCTAGCCCAAGGAATTTTCGAAGACCTTTGACATCAACCGGCACAGGCCAGTCGGTGATCGCCTCGATCTTTTCGGGATCAGGACGTACACCGTTCTTACCAACGATGCACCCAAGAAGTGGTATTTTGCTTGCTGCAAATATACACTTCTTGAGGTTTGCATACAATTGATGCTTTCGCATGATTGTAAGAACCTGTCGGACGTGGTACCTGTGAACCTCAACATCCGACTTTCCATCCATAGCTCGACTATGGATGAATACGTCATCGAAATAACTCGGCGCGAATTCTCGTACTGGTCTCAACAGATGTGATACACATCTGTTGAAAGTGGCAGGGGCATTACTAAGCCCTTGTGGCATTACTAGCCATTCCCAGAGCATGCCGCTAGGCGTGCTAACTGCGGTATAGGGTATATCCCGTTCCCGCATAAGGATTTGATAGAAGCCATCCATCAAATCCATGGACGAAAAGATGGTACTCTTTGACATACCATCAATTATTACGTTCTTCCTTGGTATCGGCGTCTGAGCCGGTACCGTTGCAGCGTTCAATTTGTTGAACGCGTGCACAATCCGCCACCATCCTGTTGCTTTTCGCACACAGAAGGTCGGAGAGCTATGTGGGGAAGTTGATTCCCTCACATGAACAGTCTCTAATCGATCGGCAAAGAACTTGTCGATCGCAAGTACTTGTTCACGAGGCAGTGGCCACTGCTTCATGACACAGTACTTCGAGCCTGGTTTAAGCTCGACCTCGTGTCGAATACCTTTATCCTTTGGTAATTCGCACGGAACAGTTTCAGGAAATACATCCTTGAATTCAACCAAATCTTCATAGAGAGGATTTTTCTTGAGCGATTCCCACGATTGGGAGTCATATCGCTCAATTCGTGTCTTTTCATCTAGGACACTCTCGTCCATAGATGAACTACTGAGAACTCTCTCGTTCTCAGTAAACACTGTTGCTGACCTTATGTCGGTTACACACTCGTCGTCAGCGACGAGTATGCAGATCTGCTTGACTTTGCCACTACGCAGATCACGCAAGAACCTTTTATGTTCGAGCGTTGGCAACTGAGTGATCTCCGAAGTCAACTTCGGAGGCGCAATCAGATCAAGTGTATAAGCGCCTACACTTGATCCGTTATTGACTATGACATTCAATGTCTCTGTCATTTCCTGGGGACTTATTCCCTCAGGCTTCGAAGGACTTATTCCTTCGGCTTCCCGGGGACATATTCCCGCGGGTTTCGGGGAACTTATTTCCGCCGTATTTGTAATCTTGAGACTTATTCCCTTTACTTCCTCTAGCTGGGGTTGCGCAACCACAGCGAGATCCTCTACGAAAGACTCTCCAGTCGATCTAGGATTATCGTTTCGCTTAACCTGAGCGATCGATTGTTTCTCTTCTAGATGTTCCCCTCTAGGGATACATCTTTGTCCCAGTCCACCCGACTTATTCGAGTGGTGGACCTTCGGCGCAGCCTGTGTTTCCTCACAGCCGCCGGAACTTTGCTCCGAAGTGTAACCGTTTGGTACACTAAGGTTTTGTGCAGTCGTACTAACGACCGTACCACAAGTGAGGCCATCGCACTCACTCGTAGTACATCCACACGCTTGTGGACGCTCCAAAACGTTCATCAGATGGCCATCTGATGAACAAGCGGCAGGCATCGTTACTGTCCGATGTTGCCAGTTTACTCGTGGTTCGTACCTTCTGAGCCACGGTATTCCAAGGATGACATCAAATTTGTCATCCAAATCCAATACGATAAAGTCATCGTCATATTGGGTATCTTCTAGCGTATAGTGGATCTTCACTATACGCTTCATGACGGTTACGGATGCGCCTGTCGCAAGACGTACCGTCATCCTCGTAGGAGGTGTGTCACATTCACTGAACTTAAAGTGACCAACTTCTAGCGATTGGCGTCGCACAAAATTGTTGGACGCCCCACAATCGACTAGAGCTCGAAGGGACAACTTATTCGTCACTTCGAGTTTCAAGGTAATGAGTGAGATCTCATTACCTAGAGCAGCAACGCACACCGTCTGTGTGTTGGGAGCAACCTTCATCAAGAGGTCTACAAATTCTCTTGACGTTGCTGGATCAGTAGGGTGCTCCGCACCTACTGATCCTGTCCGTTTTTTTACGGTCCATCCCGTTGTTGCGTCTTTGCACCAACTGCGGACCCTCGTCCCTGCCCCTTTCTTATGGGTGGACGGTCACTACGCCCAGTGTCGCGAGACACTGGACGAGGGGCACTACACTCGTAAGCGTAGTGTCCTGTCTTACGACATCTGTTGCATCTCTGCAACCTCCTGTAGCCTGTAGAGCGAGCCTTCTCGCTCTCTACATAACAGAGTTCCATCGGCTCTGGACCTCCGTTGTCATATCGTCTCGGTTGACGATATGATGTCGAGCTGGCGCGAGCCTGTCTCAGACTGAAGTCTTCCTGCTCCGCAATGGAAATGGCTTGTTCTAGTGAATCTAGTTCAAGCCGGAACAGGTGAGTCTTGACGGGACCATCCGCAAGACCCTGCATGAACACCGAAACAAACGTGTGTTCATCCACCGGATTGGAACTTATACAACTCGTGAGATGTCGTATATGTTGAGCGTAAGCGTGCACATCACGCTTACCCTGCTTGAGCTTCAAGAGTTCGGTTCGAGCTCTGAACTCAGCTCTAGGCGGTTCAAACGTTTGTCTGAGCCGCGACTTGAAGACTTCCAACGACCCAAACGCATATGGGTCGTGCAACTTGAGCCCCAGTGCCCAAGTCTTGGCACGTCCTGCCAGATTTGACTGGGCAAATGCAACTTGCATATCCCCGTCGTCGATGCGACGCGCCCTTATGGCGTCATCCAATTCGACGAACCATCTCAAGAGGGAGTCTTCTTCGACCCCCCTATACTTGGAGATGTCAATCTTCAAGGTTTCGGGTCGACGCGAGTGCATCGACCCACCAGCAGCAGCCTGCTGCTGTCTCAACAGTTCAAACTGTTGAGCACCCAGTTCTCTCAACAACTCTGCTTGTTGAGAACCTTGTTGGTGAAGCAAGGCTACTTTCTCGCGTTCTGCGTCAAGTTCATTTTGAATGAACTTGGCGATAGTAGCATGTTGGGCATCTCTATTGAGAGCCTCTAGCATGACGCTAACAGCATGGATGCCCATGGTTGAACCCATTCGTTCAACCGCATCCCATTCGACATCGCTCAAATGGGAGTAGCCGTCACGCGTAGCGTGAAAGCTTTGGTCATCTTCATCATCCAACATATTCATGTTAGATGTGAACGTGGTCCTTGGACGGACTACAAAGTGCTACCAGGTGTAACGGGGCACCCTGAAGCTTGTACTGGTGACAGTACAAGCTACTTATTCTGATGACAGAATAAGGCGGTGCCTCGTAACTTCACGTACACTCGTACGTGCAGAGGAAGACGGTAAGAAGAAGCGAGTACTTGGTTAGAGTAAAAAGTAGAACTGTATTTAGTATAGTTAATGTCTGCAATAAATCACTATTTATCTTCATCTAACTATGTCTAAATACAAATGTGTAAATCAATTATCTGCTCACCACTCATTGCGTGCGTCTGTCGTGGCGCGTCTTCGTTGGTTGATATAATGGCCTATATCAACCAATTAGGAACTACTCGTAAGTGCTACAGAATATTTGTCCTTATGACAATATTCTGAGAATATAACTCTTATAGTTATATTCTATTAACAATTTCTTATAAATTGTTATGTAACGATTCACCCCGTTACAGGCGACCAGTGTGGCGAATCGGGTGTTGATCCTCAACTCCATCATTCTCCCGTCTGTTCTGTTCACGGCGGCGGTTTCCGATATGCCTGAGTGGGCACGACTTGCTGTCCACAACCTGTACAAACAATTTTTATGGGCTCATGCGACTTCAACGGAAGCCAGCCGACACAAGGTTAACCCGGGACTACTTTTCACCCCCAGAAAGGCAGGGGGGTTGGGTTGGCCTCTTTGGATGTGGCTATTAAAACGCAGCGTACCAAGCACGCTTTACAGTGGCTCACACAAGCTCAGGACAAGTATTTTGGAGCCTGGAGTGCGTGGGCTTATCAAGGCCGGCCGACAATTCGAGCCTGGTTCTCCATTGCAGGACACATGCAGCTGGGGCTTCATCGTGTTTTGGGGCACCGTCCCCAAATTCATGGATACCGGACGTTGACAAGCTTCTACACCCTACGGTAGAGCAAGCCACCATACTCAGCGAGCGGGTACGTACGTACTACCACCCCGTCCTCCACGGCGCCAGTAGCTGGTGGGAGGAGGAGGAATGGGTTCTGTCGTATCATCACCCTTTTCCGGCTGGGTTACCTGCGCTCGATCCTCACCAGTGTGCGTTACATCGCTTTTGGGGGACACTAGGCTGGAGTAATAACCCGTGGATCCAGGACGGCAATGGCCTTCCGTTAAAATCCTCTACCTACGACCGGATTGCGATCTGCCCCATCTCGGACCTGCACATTCGGCGAACAGGGCCAACTGAATTTATTTTTCGCATTCAGCCGGTTGGACCCCGATCTATTCACCACTCGCAGCCTAAACTCCGTCGGTGGGCGACGGCAATCTTGCTGGCATCCCCTACGTTTCCCATTGGGGGCGAATTAGCGCTCGAACCTGAGCTGGTTCTTCGCCATGCACCACCTTTACGACATGATTAAACCTGGGCCTCGGTGCAACAAGGCCGAGTGGTCGGGAGGCGAGATGTAACGGGGTGAATCGTTACATAACAATTTATAAGAAATTGTTAATAGAATATAACTATAAGAGTTATATTCTCAGAATATTGTCATAAGGACAATATTCTGTAGCACTTCCAAGTAGTTCCTAATTGGTTGATATAGGCCATTATATCAACCAACGAAGACGCGCCACGACAGACGCACGCAATGAGTGGTGAGCAGATAACTGATTTACACATTTGTATTTAGACATAGTTAGATGAAGATAAATAGTGATTTATTGCAGACATTAACTATACTAAATACAGTTCTACTTTTTACTCTAACCAAGTACTCGCTTCTTCTTACCGTCTTCCTCTGCACGTACGAGTGTACGTGAAGTTACGAGGCACCGCCTTATTCTGTTATCAGAATAAGTAGCTTGTACTGTCACCAGTACAAGCTTCAGGGTGCCCCGTTACACCTGGTAGCACTTCGTAGTCCGTCCAAGGACCGCGTTCACATCCAACATGAATATGTTGGATGATGAAGATGACCAAAGCTTTCACGCTACGCGTGACGGCTACTCCCATTTGAGCGATGTCGAATGGGATGCGGTTGAACGAATGGGTTCGACCATGGGCATCCATGCTGTTAGCGTCATGCTAGAGGCTCTCAATAGAGATGCCCAACATGCTACTATCGCCAAGTTCATTCAAAATGAACTTGACGCAGAACGCGAGAAAGTAGCCTTGCTTCACCAACAAGGTTCTCAACAAGCAGAGTTGTTGAGAGAACTGGGTGCTCAACAGTTTGAACTGTTGAGACAGCAGCAGGCTGCTGCTGGCGGGTCGATGCACTCGCGTCGGCCCGAGACTTTGAAGATTGACATCTCAAAGTATAGGGGGGTCGAAGAAGACTCCCTCTTGAGATGGTTCGTCGAATTGGATGACGCCATAAGGGCGCGTCGCATCGACGACGGGGATATGCAAGTTGCATTTGCCCAGTCAAATCTGGCAGGACGTGCCAAGACTTGGGCACTGGGGCTCAAGCTGCACGACCCATATGCGTTTGGGTCGTTGGAAGTCTTCAAGTCGCGGCTCAGACAAACGTTTGAACCGCCTAGAGCTGAGTTCAGAGCTCGAACCGAACTCTTGAAGCTCAAGCAGAGTAAGCGTGATGTGCACGCTTACGCTCAACATATACGACATCTCACGAGTTGTATAAGTTCCAATCCGGTGGATGAACACACGTTGGTTTCGGTGTTCATGCAGGGTCTTGCGGATGGTCCCGTCAAGACTCACCTGTTCCGGCTTGAACTAGATTCACTAGAACAAGCCATTTCAATTGCGGAGCAGGAAGACTTCAGTCTGAGACAGGCTCGCGCCAGCTCGACATCATATCGTCAACCGAGACGATATGACAACGGAGGTCCAGAGCCGATGGAACTCTGTTATGTAGAGAGCGAGAAGGCTCGCTCTACAGGCTACAAGAAGTTGCAGAGATGCAACAGATGTCAAAAGACAGGACACTACGCTTACGAGTGTAGTGCTCCCTCGTCCAGTGTCTCGCGACACTGGGCGTAGTGACCGTCCACCCATGAGAAAGGGGCAGGGACGAGGGTCCGCAGTTGGTGCAAAGACGCAACAACGGGATGGACCGTCAAAAACGGACAGGATCAGTAGGTGCGGAGCACCCTACTGATCCAGCAACGTCAAGAGAATTTGTAGGCCTCTTGATGAAGGTTGCTCCCAACACACAGACATTGTGCGTTGCTGCTCTAGGTAATGAGATCTCACTCATTACCTCTGAAACTCGAAGTGACGAATAAGTTGTCCCTTCGAGCTCTAGTCGATTGTGGGGCGTCCAACAATTTTGTGCGACGCCAATCGCTAGAAGATGGTCACTTTAAATTCAGTGAATGTGACACACCTCCTACGAGGATGACGGTACGTCTTGCGACAGGCGCATCCGTAATCGTCATGAAGCGTATAGTGAAGATTCACTATACGCTAGAAGATACCCAATACGACGATGACTTTATCGTATTGGATTTGGATGACAAATTTGATGTCATCTCTGGAATACCGTGGCTCAGAAGGTACGAACCACGGGTAAACTGGCAACATCGGACAGTAACGATGCCTGCCGCTTGTTCATCAGATGGCCATCTGATGAACGTTTTGGAGCGTCCACAAGCGTGTGGATGTACTACGAGTGAGTGCGATGGCCTCACTTGTGGTACGGTCGTTAGTACGACTGCACAAAACCTTAGTGTACCAAACGGTTACACTTCGAGCAAAGTTCCGGCGGCTGTGAGGAAACACAGGCTGCGCCGAAGGTCCACCACTCGAATAAGTCGGGTGGACTGGGACAAAGATGTATCCCTAGAGGGGAACATCTAGAAGAGAAACAATCGATCGCTCAGGTTAAGCGAAACGATAATCCTAGATCGACTGGAGAGTCTTTCGTAGAGGATCTCGCTGTGGTTGCGCAACCCCAGCTAGAGGAAGTAAAGGGAATAAGTCCCAAGATTACAAATACGGCGGAAATAAGTTCCCCGAAACCCGCGGGAATAAGTCCCCGGGAAGACGAAGGAATAAGTCCTTCGAAGCCTGAGGGAATAAGTCCCCAGGAAATGACAGAGACATTGAATGTCATAGTCAATAACGGATCATGTGTAGGCGCTTATACACTTGATCTGATTGCGCCTCCGAAGTTAACTTCGGAGATCACTCAGTTGCCAACGCTCGAACATAAAAGATTCTTGCGTGATCTGCGTAGTGGCAAAGTCAAGCAGATCTGCATACTCGTCGCTGAAGACGAGTATGTAACCGACATAAGGTCAGCAACAGTGTTTACTGAGAACGAGAGAGTTCTCAGTAGTTCATCTATGGACGAGAGTGTCCTAGATGAAAAGACAAGAATTGAGCGATATGAGTCCCAATCATGGGAATCGCTCAAGGAAAATCCTCTCTATGAAGATTTGGTTGAATTCAAGGATGTATTCCCTGAAACTGTTCCGTGCGAATTACCGAAGGATAAAGGTATTCGACACGAGGTCGAGCTTAAACCAGGCTCGAAGTACTGTGTCATGAAGCAGTGGCCACTGCCTCGTGAACAAGTACTTGCGATCGACAAGTTCTTTGCCGATCGTTTAGCAGCGGGCCATGTGAGGGAATCAACTTCCCCACATAGCTCTCCGACCTTCTGTGTGCGAAAAGCAACAGGAGGGTGGCGGATAGTGCACGCGTTTAACAAATTGAACGCTGCAACGGTACCGGCTCAGACGCCGATACCGAGGAAGGACGTAATCATTGATGGTATGTCAAAGAGTACCATCTTTTCGTCCATGGATTTGATGGATGGCTTCTATCAAATCCTAATGCGGGAACGGGATATACCCTATACCGCAGTTAGCACGCCTAGCGGCATGCTCTGGGAATGGCTAGTAATGCCACAAGGGCTCAGTAATGCCCCTGCCACGTTCAACAGGTGTGTATCACATCTGTTGAGACCAGTACGAGAATTCGCGCCGAGTTATTTCGATGACGTATTCATCCATAGTCGAGCTATGGATGGAAAGTCGGATGTTGAGGTTCACAGGTACCACGTCCGACAGGTTCTTACAATCATGCGAAAGCATCAATTGTATGCTAAACCTCAAGAAGTGTATATTTGCAGCAAGCGAAATACCACTTCTTGGGTGCATCGTTGGTAAGAACGGTGTACGTCCTGATCCCGAAAAGATCAAGGCGATCACCGACTGGCCCGTGCCGGTCGATGTCAAAGGTCTTCGAAAATTCCTTAGCTAGCGGCGTATTTGCATAAGTATTCACGCAATTACGCCGAGATGACTGTACACCTCTCTCGTTTGTTGAAAAAGAACGAGAGGTGGTTATGGAACGCTGAATGTCAACGCTCTTTTGAGGGTATCAAGCAGAGCTTGATACAATCCCCAGTCCTAGCAATAGCCGATCAGGACAGGCCATTTCATGTGGTCTGTGATGCCAGCGATTTCGCAATCGGCTGTGCATTAATGCAGTACGACCTTGAAGGCGTTGAACGCGTCGTCTGCTATCAGTCGCGTCAGCTGCAACCAGCTGAGCGGAACTATCCAGTGCATGACAAGGAACTCCTTGCCATGAAGTATGCACTCGCGAAGTTCAGAGTCTATCTATTAGGAGATAGACCCTTCGTTGTTTACACTGACCATGCGTCCTTACGCACGGCAGTGAACAGCCCGCACCTTTCACAACGAATGGCGCGGTGGTTGTCATTCTTTGCAGAATACAACTTTACGGTCGAGTACAAACCAGGACGACTTAATGTCGTCGCTGATGCACTCTCACGTCGTCCCGACTTTGAAACAGTCGCGAAACCCAACAGTGAGACAGTCACTGTTGCGGTTATGACGTCCTCAGTTCCATCTACAACGTTGTATGATGATGTGAGGCGGGCATACGCCCAAGATGGTGAGATAGTGAAGTTGTTGTCACATCTCTCCCAACCATCTCGAGAATCGTTGAAACGATTGTCGTCTGCGTATCGATCTGCATCAGATCGATACACTACTCGTAACGGTTTACTGTACTATACAGCCGTTTCTGGTGACACACCACGTGTTGTCATTCCAGATGATATTGATCTGCGTTTGCGGATCATGTTCGAGTATCACGATGCTCCTATAGGAGGACATCGTGGCCGAGAGAAAACATATCTCACGGTGAGTCGAGACTTTTACTGGCCCCGCCAGTATCAGTTTGTGCGAAAGTATGTTCGCGCATGCGAAGTCTGCCAACGAGTGAAGTCAAGCCCTTCACTGCGTGCACCTTTACAGCCTCTACCGGTTCCGGCTGAGTGCTGGGAATCCATCTCAATGGATTTCGTCTTCGGTTTACCCAAAGACGTACGCGGGAATACGGGTATTCTCGTATTTGTTGACAGATTCAGCAAAATGGTACACCTTGTGGCTGTACCAGAGACAATCACGGCAAGTGGCTGTGCTTGTGTCTTTATTGACACCATCTTCCGACTTCATGGGTTGCCCCGTGAACTCGTATCAGACAGAGATCCACGATTCACTGCTGATTTCTGGCGTTCCGTGTTCAAATCACTCGGAACGCGCTTGAAGATGTCAACATCTGATCATCCAGAGTCAGATGGTCAGACGGAACGTGCCAATCGTGTCCTTGAAGAGATACTTCGAGGATACGTACACTCCTTTAAGAGTTGGAGTGAGTTTTTGCCGATGGTAGAGTTTGCCATCAACAACTCGGTGCATGCGTCCACGACACATACACCGTTTTACGTGAATGGCTTGCGCCGTCCGCGTGTACCCACCTTACTAGAGTGTAACTCTGGTTTAAGGGGGGGAGGGACTCGCGCGAGCAAAAACCGAATTGGTTCACGCTCATCACGCTCTGACGAAGAAGTCATTGCGTTTGATGCCGATATCGATAACATCGATATCGAAGAAGATGATGCCAGTGAGAGTGCGGAAGCCCTCACTGAAGAAGATGATCCCAGTGAGAGTGCGGAAGCCCTCACTGAAGAAAAGGTTGATGTTGCTGCAGTGCGCTCACAGCACACTGAAGCTAACGAGTCATCAGATGAGTTCATACTGGCTCGTGAAACGTTAGTCCGTTTTGTGCAAGACTCCATCGCCGAAGCGGTGGATAAGCAAAAGCAAAACGCTGACAAGAATGGAAGGGCAAACACTCTTTTATTTAATAAAGGTGACTTAGTCCTACTGTCTACGGTTAATCTACCAAAGCATGTAGTGACTCAACTTGGGTAGCAGTAAACTACTACCCAAGTACATTGGCCCATTTCGTGTATTGCACCGCCTAGGCAATGCATACACGATCGAGTTACCACGTAAGATGCGAACGCATCCCACGTTTTACGTTGGTCGGCTTAAGCCGTACCATCAGTACGCTGCTTCTTCCGATGAAGAACGCCCTTGCGCTCAAGCATCTTGCAGAGAGCCTTGTGCTCCCGATGGTGGGCATCAACAAGGGTCTGAAGAGCAGTTATCTCAGCCCGAGACCGATCAACAATCCCACGAGCTACCCTTAGCTCGTCACGAAGAGATGTCAGAGATCTCTCGTTCTCAAGCTGAGCAAAGGCAAACTCAGCTCGATGCTTCGAGGCAGTGTCCACCATCTGGAGACGCCTATTCCGCTCATGCTCGAGATCGTCGCGTAACCCTTGCGTTACGCGATCAAAGAAGCTCTCGGGAACACACCGATCCACATGATCGTGTGGAGAGCGTCTTTCCTCCTCCTCCACCTCCATTAGAGGACTCTCGCGGTGGCCAGCGCTATCTAGTTGAGCAGCTGTTGAACCACCGCGACGTGAACGGACGTCGGACGAGTTATCTCGTCCGGTGGCGCGGCTATCCCCCGTCCTGGGATTCTTGGGAGCCCCGCTCCCAACTAATGGTCGACGTACTGGGTCTGGTCGAGCAGTACGACGCGACACATCCTGTGCCGCAGAAGGACCGCCGGAGAAAGTCTTCCCGGCACGGTCGTAAAGGGATTTCAGGTTGTCAATCCCTTCGTACATCTCAGTAGAGACACGTACGCGCCACCACGGGCTGGTAAGGAGGTAAGCCTCCTTAGGTGCTCGTGCAGAGTTGTTCACACAACATGGGCACGAGTCTCCCCAAGAGAGGCAGGGTAATCCTTTCTCCCTTGACAGACGATGCAGCTTGTAGCGTGCACCTGTCGGGGTTCGCTTTTCAAACTTATCACGAGCTTTGATAAGTTTGTCGTTCCAAGCGTCACGACCTACATCCTCGAGATTATGGATGTAGGCGTTCCACGCCTGAAGTAGTGAGGGACCATCACGTTTGTGATTCCCACTGTACCATCGATGTCTGAAGAAAGCATCGATGAAGAACTCATGTTCAGCGCGATAGTCTTTCGCGCTGGGGTCAAGGTGATGAATCCTTGACGAATCGAACAATCGTGTTCGATAACGATCACTCATCGTCGCCGGCAAGTGATCCATGACTGATTTGGGAGGCATCCATGCCTTATTCTCAGGAGCGAGACGCAAGACATTGCGGTCCCGCTCTTCCTGCGACGTGCCGACAGAAGTACTGGCACCTCGCTGTGAAGTGGTGTCCATTGGAGAAACGACACCACTATTAGCGCCCGAGTCTCGCGACCTCGAGCGCCTTCGCTTCGGCGATGGTTCATCTGACTCATCAGATGAACCAAAGATGCTGCGACGCAAAGCATCATCCATGCCACGCTTGGCAGGCGGCTTGGATTCAATTGCCGTCGATACGGATCCGTCATCCGTATCAGGAGAGTACGAGACACCGAGCTCGTACTCTGTGAAGACACGAGTGTCTTCATGACCAGCGCCTGCATCACCAGGTGATACAGGCTGAGTCGATTCAGCAACCGATGGGACATCAGTTGCTGTAGTTTCTGCTTCGGCGTCCGCACAGAGACGTGCAGACGCGCTCTCGGCGGCCTTGCTCGCGCATCGCATGGGCTTGTTTACCATGCGATGAGATGTTGGAAAGTGGACGCGGACCAACAAGTGCAAACCCCGTCCCAAATGATTTGGGACGAGTATCCATTTAGTCAATCAGTCACTAAAGTGACTGATGGTTAAGGGGGGGGTGATGTAACGGGGTGAATCGTTACATAACAATTTATAAGAAATTGTTAATAGAATATAACTATAAGAGTTATATTCTCATAATATTGTCATAAGGACAATATTCTGTAGCACTTCCAAGTAGTTCCTAATTGGTTGATATAGGCCATTATATCAACCAACGAAGACGCGCCACGACAGACGCACGCAATGAGTGGTGAGCAGATAACTGATTTACACATTTGTATTTAGACATAGTTAGATGAAGATAAATAGTGATTTATTGCAGACATTAACTATTATAAATACAGTTCTGCTTTTTACTCTAACCAAGTACTCGCTTCTTCTTACCGTCTTCCTCTGCACGTACGAGTGTACGTGAAGTTACGAGGCACCGCCTTATTCTGTTATCAGAATAAGTAGCTTGTACTGTCACCAGTACAAGCTTCAGGGTGCCCCGTTACACGAGAGGGGTACTTGTAACGGGGTGAATCGTTACATAACAATTTATAAGAAATTGTTAATAGAATATAACTATAAGAGTTATATTCTCAGAATATTGTCATAAGGACAATATTCTGTAGCACTTCCAAGTAGTTCCTAATTGGTTGATATAGGCCATTATATCAACCAACGAAGACGCGCCACGACAGACGCACGCAATGAGTGGTGAGCAGATAGTTGATTTACACATTTGTATTTAGACATAGTTAGATGAAGATAAATAGTGATTTATTGCAGACATTAACTATTATAAATACAGTTCTACTTTTTACTCTAACCAAGTACTCGCTTCTTCTTATCGTCTTCCTCTGCACGTACGAGTGTACGTGAAGTTACGAGGCACCGCCTTATTCTGTTATCAGAATAAGTAGCTTGTACTGTCACCAGTACAAGCTTCAGGGCGCCCCGTTACACCTGGTAGCACTTAGTAGTCCGTCCAAGGACCGCGTTCACATCCAACATGAATATGTTGGATGATGAAGATGACCAAAGCTTTCACGCTACGCGTGACGGCTACTCCCATTTGAGCGATGTCGAATGGGATGCGGTTGAACGAATGGGTTCGACCATGGGCATCCATGCTGTTAGCGTCATGCTAGAGGCTCTCAATAGAGATGCCCAACATGCTACTATCGCCAAGTTCATTCAAAATGAACTTGACGCAGAACGCGAGAAAGTAGCCTTGCTTCACCAACAAGGTTCTCAACAAGCAGAGTTGTTGAGAGAACAAGGTGCTCAACAGTTTGAACTGTTGAGACAGCAGCAGGCTGCTGCTGGCGGGTCGATGCACTCGCGTCGGCCCGAGACTTTGAATATTGACATCTCAAAGTATAGGGGGGTCGAAGAAGACTCCCTCTTGAGATGGTTCGTCGAATTGGATGACGCCATAAGGGCGCGTCGCATCGACGACGGGGATATGCAAGTTGCATTTGCCCAGTCAAATCTGGCAGGACGTGCCAAGACTTGGGCACTGGGGCTCAAGCTGCACGACCCATATGCGTTTGGGTCGTTGGAAGTCTTCAAGTCGCGGCTCAGACAAACGTTTGAACTGCCTAGAGCTGAGTTCAGAGCTCGAACCGAACTCTTGAAGCTCAAGCAGGGTAAGCGTGATGTGCACGCTTACGCTCAACATATACGACATCTCACAAGTTGTATAAGTTCCAATCCGGTGGATGAACACACGTTGGTTTCGGTGTTCATGCAGGGTCTTGCGGATGGTCCCGTCAAGACTCACCTGTTCCGGCTTGAACTAGATTCACTAGAACAAGCCATTTCAATTGCGGAGCAGGAAGACTTCAGTCTGAGACAGGCTCGCGCCAGCTCGACATCATATCGTCAACCGAGACGATATGACAACGGAGGTCCAGAGCCGATGGAACTCTGTTATGTAGAGAGCGAGAAGGCTCGCTCTACAGGCTACAGGAGGTTGCAGAGATGCAACAGATGTCGTAAGACAGGACACTACGCTTACGAGTGTAGTGCCCCTCGTCCAGTGTCTCGCGACACTGGGCGTAGTGACCGTCCACCCATGATAAAGGGGCAGGGACGAGGGTCCGCAGTTGGTGCAAAGACGCAACAACGGGATGGACCGTCAAAAAACGGACAGGATCAGTAGGTGCGGAGCACCCTACTGATCCAGCAACGTCAAGAGAATTTGTAGGCCTCTTGATGAAGGTTGCTCCCAACACACAGACATTGTGCGTTGCTGCTCTAGGTAATGAGATCTCACTCATTACCTTGAAACTCGAAGTGACGAATAAGTTGTCCCTTCGAGCTCTAGTCGATTGTGGGGCGTCCAACAATTTTGTGCGACGCCAATCGCTAGAAGATGGTCACTTTAAATTCAGTGAATGTGACACACCTCCTACGAGGATGACGGTACGTCTTGCGACAGGCGCATCCGTAATCAAATATGAAGCGTATAGTGAAGATTCACTATACGCTAGAAGATACCCAATACGACGATGACTTTATCGTATTGGATTTGGATGACAAATTTGATGTCATCCTGGAATACCGTGGCTCAGAAGGTACGAACCACGGGTAAACTGGCAACATCGGACAGTAACGATGCCTGCCGCTTGTTCATCAGATGGCCATCTGATGAACGTTTTGGAGCGTCCACAAGCGTGTGGATGTACTACGAGTGAGTGCGATGGCCTCACTTGTGGTACGGTCGTTAGTACGACTGCACAAAACCTTAGTGTACCAAACGGTTACACTTCGGAGCAAAGTTCCGGCGGCTGTGAGGAAACACAGGCTGCGCCGAAGGTCCACCACTCGAATAAGTCGGGTGGACTGGGACAAAGATGTATCCCTAGAGGGGAACATCTAGAAGAGAAACAATCGATCGCTCAGGTTAAGCGAAACGATAATCCTAGATCGACTGGAGAGTCTTTCGTAGAGGATCTCGCTGTGGTTGCGCAACCCCAGCTAGAGGAAGTAAAGGGAATAAGTCCCAAGATTACAAATACGGCGGAAATAAGTTCCCCGAAACCCGCGGGAATAAGTCCCCGGGAAGACGAAGGAATAAGTCCTTCGAAGCCTGAGGGAATAAGTCCCCAGGAAATGACAGAGACATTGAATGTCATAGTCAATAACGGATCATGTGTAGGCGCTTATACACTTGATCTGATTGCGCCTCCGAAGTTAACTTCGGAGATCACTCAGCTGCCA